TCTAAGGAAAATAAAAAAAATTATTTTTTTTTTTTTTTTTTTTTTTTTTTTTTTTGCTGTTATGATTGTCACTATATAATATTAACATTAAACACAGACTACATTTTTCTTTACTAACCTTTTTTTTTTTTAAACAGTGATTAATGTTTCAAGTTAGTGTTGGCACCTTTGAATGAGATCAAACCAACCACCTATTTCTACTGACAGGTTTCGTCAAAAGCTGCCTTACCTGCTGCTGACGTACTCCTCCTCGTCGTCGTCTTTCTGAGGCGGCTCTGGCGCAGGAGTCGGCTGATGTTTCTGCACTATCCTCATTCCCCCTGCTTTCACTTCAACACACACATGCAAAGAAAACAAAAAAAAATTACCCCGATACTTAACCACGACAAGCAGGAGTCTAATACAGAATAACACTGAATGCGTCGCTACTGATAGGTTTTGTCAAAACTGAAGTCTGACATTTGTCGTAGATTCCGGGTACAACCCGACGTCCATGAGCCACACGCGGCAACGTCAGGTGATAAAACAATCTGCTTGTTTTATCAAGCAGACACCGACAGTGAGCTTATGAATAATTGTGCGTCTAGCATTTATTGATATCAACATAAATCATGGTTGAAGCATAGAATTTAGACGAGTTTCTCAACGCTGCCGTCCACTTGTGTTTTCTATTGCTTTACAAGCCTCTTAAACCGCAACTGTGTATTTTTATGATTTTTACTGGGTTGAAAGCCTACCTTTGAAGTTTGTCACTTGAACTGCATCTTGAGAAAAAACAAAAAAGTTTTTTTTTTTTTTTTTTTTTTACTTCAACTAGACAGTAAGTTGTGTTGCTGTTGGTGATTCTTTAACTTTCACTAGTTGAGTGACTGCTAATCAACTTAACTAGTGATTAGCAGTCACTGGCATTACTGTGACTGGTAAATGAAAGCAAGACAAACTTCCGTACGTTTCAGTTTCGAGATGTTCCAATAACATCAACACTGGAAATTCTTACACTGTGTATTTTCTTTGACTTCGTGTTGAAGCTTTAATTCAAAAAACACTTGAAAAGTAAAAATTGCAAGGTCAAAGATATGGTTTATGTTTTCAGGACCTAATATTAAAAAAAAGAAAGAAAAAAAGATTTGATATGCAGGGTCTAGATTTATAAATTGGAAATATTTTTTTTTCAAAATATTCTATGGTGAGGGGTGTGATTCTTTCACTGAATAAAGGGACTGTTGCACTTAATTATCTAACATTAGACCTACCTATTAAGAGATCACTTATTTAATATTTTATGGCTTTTTTTTAATTAAGTGTTAATTATTTTTGTAGGTTGCAACTTCTCACAGACTTTAGCTTAAGGGCAATACATTTCACTAGAATTTTATTCTTTTTAAAACGCCGTAAGCGTCTTAACCCTATGATCCTGGCATCATGTAAACATTCTTTAGGAGCCATCTTTTAGATGAAGCAATTTATCATCAAATACAACTTTAGAAAAGTTCACTAATGTATCTACATTTAAATTTGCAACCTAAGAATTTGGGATAATCTAAAAACTATATGTTGCCAAAATTAAAACGACAGAAGACACTATATTTCTGGCAAATGCACAACAGCTTGACCTCGCCCTTCAACTTTACTGCTACCTTTTGTAAACAAAAACACGTTAAAATACCCGCGTGTTTGTGAATAACAGAGACACTGTGACCTGGATTTCCTTTATGGGGCACCTACTGATCACAGGTCGGGTCCGAGGGCCATTCTTTATCTTACTGTGATATCGGTCAGCGCTGCAGCAGCTGCTGTGGCCCACTGCCACACTGCTCTTGTCCACGTATGCTTTATCGTTTTGGTTTTTTTTTTTTTTCCTCCCTTCTTCTCCCCCTGAGCCTACCTCGCAGCCATCCATGTCTTCTCAGACCCGCAATTTAAAGATTTGCAACGTTTCGCCGTGACTGCTCATTGCGGTGGCTCCAACTCTGGGTGATCCTGCAAGATCTTAGGCCAATCAGGAAGTAGGGAAATTAGCCAAACAGAGGAATATGGCAGATCATTACAGCACGCAATCTGGATGTGTGAAGAGCTGAGAGCTGCCAGCACAACGGATTGCTTGAGTAATATCCGGAATCATGTGATTCTTGGTTTGAGGCTGTGCAGAAACACGGGCCCTCGGGTCTATGGGAAGCATTTAATAATAATAATAATAAAAGGGAGCACAACCAGACAGGGACGTTTACCTGCAGGGAGATGTCCGCCTTTGGTTTCCACCTTCTCCTTTGGAGGCGACGACATGCCTGCTCCGATGTGCGGTCTGCTGCCGGCAGGGACCGAACCGTTCAAACAAAACGAATCTCTGCTTTATTCTGCCTCAAAAACTGTCCACTACGCTTCAGTCTGTATCGTCAACGTGGCTTTTTCCTGAGCATTGTTTAGAAATGATGCGTGATGACGTCACGTGAAACCGCCGCGCAAAAGCGCGGTGACGTGTAAGCCGTACGTGCCTTTGTAAAAAAATAAAATAAACAAACCGAGGCGCCCAAATGAAAGACTTTTTTCCCCATTTAAGATAAAAAAAATGGCAAAAACCCAAACATAAAATTAAATAAAACCGAATAAAAAAGATAGCTACAATGTTTTCAACACAATTGCATCCCATCTTTTTAAAATTCATTTGTTTACAGAAAATTTGGTGACATTTAAATATTCACACCAGTGCCTTTTTCTTACGTTACATTTTTGCTGGGACTAAAACAAATCATTATGTATGATTATGAAGTGAGAGGAGAATTTATATAAAAGTAAATTCAGCATAAAATTTATAAGCCAATGCTTGCATAGTACCACTCTACCAGTCCTTTTAGAACATATCAAAACTATCTTCTCAGATTTAGTGATGTTTTTCTCCATTATCCCAAACATTAACCAACTTCTGCATGACCTCTAGCAATAACATGGGCCTCATGATTGTTTCTGTGTTTAATGATCTTCTTTCTCACCTTATGTGGATGATCGTATGCAAGTAGATTGCCAGTTGTACTGAGTAGCTTAGGTTACCGTTTTATAACTTGGCCCTGTTTTAAACTAATTTACAAAGATCCCGGAACTTACTGTATTGGGGTGACAGCAAGGAGTTCCTCCTGTAACTCCAGGTTGCCGGGATTGAACCGGCAACCCTTCTGTCTCTATTGATGTGTCCTTTGGCAAGACAGTTCACCTGCCTCGCCTGCTGGTGGTGGTCAGAGTCCTGGCAGTAGTAGTTTACCAACAGTAGAGTATAAATGTGTGTGTGTGACACTGATTAATCTGTGGACTAGACAAAGTACTATATAAGCGTATGGGCCATTTATGCTGGATTTTATTTTAGGATTGAATAGTAAAGGAGTAGTAGCACATATGCATGCCACACATTTCAGATTTTTTTTTTTTTACATTGAAAAAAAAAACCCCATTTATTTTCTTCCAATTCAGTATAATTCCTTCCTTTATGTTGGTTACTCAAACAAATTCTCAATAAATAATGAATTAATACGCATTGAGCCTTTGCATTGTAGAGGTTCGACTCTAGATTCAAGCCTATATTGCAATTTAGAAAAAAATAGAATTAAATATCAATTGAATTTTCTTGATTTGAATTCTAATCATTTTCACAACATGTGCCTTAGTTTTTAGGATGTATTTATTTTTTATTTGCAATGCATAGTATCTCAAGGCAGATATCTTCCTTTTCATAAAACCTTGTGAAAAGGTTTATGGAATCTATGAGCACTGCTAAAATTCCCAATATTAATTTTAGAAATGGAACCGAGCAAGTTCCCTCCAGAGCAACAACTGGTAATGAGAAACCGATGGATTTGTGACAAAAAGTATGAAAATCGTTCAACAGGAATGTCTCCATATTTAACACCGAGGAAAAAAAAATTTCTTAAGCCACAGGCTCGGATGTCACTAGAAGCAGAAATGAATTCAAGACCATCTCTCTCCCTACACAAGAAAGAAGCATTTCTTATGGAGTGATCTCCCCTAATGAAGCAGCCTATTTCCATCTCCCACCCGACGCACCGCCGACATGCCAAAGCAACAGCGGCATGAGCAGTAAAATCCCAAAAAAAAAAAAAAGTTCTCTATCTGTGTGTGACGGAGAGACTGGAGGTGACCTCATGACCGCATACTTTCTGTTTTCACACCACTACACCACAGTTGTTCATTAACTGGCTGTCACAGGAGTGTGAACTAAGATCTGCAGGCGAAGATAGCTTAGCAGTTAATTAGGATGAGACTGAAAAAGGTTTTAACGAGCCTAAGGATAACATTTCAAGTTATGCATTTGTGCCCGATTCAATACATGGATACCTGTGGAAGAGGACATTTAGCACAATTAAAATATTTAAATCGGCGCAATAAGTCAGGAAGAACGCCGGGTGCAATGCGTACATACTTCCATGTTTGGTCATGATGAGTGTGTTTGTGTGTGTGTATGTGTTTTCACAGTGCTGCAGGCAGGCCGGTTAGCAGCTCTATAATGACATAATTGTTGCATGAAGAGGCAGCTGCATGCTCCACCCAGGCCATGAGTGCATGACATTCAACACACACACACACAAATATGAATTATCCATTGAGATACACAAAGGGGGGAAAAAAATAGCTAAAATTGGACAATACTTTATTTTGCACTAGATGTAAGTAACCGCAAACACACATGATGAGGGGACTTGGCAGTGGAGAAGCGGTCTGCACTGATTTGCATCTGCAGTGGAGTAGAATCTGTTGCCGGGGCACGAGTCTCTGAGGAAGGTGTTGACAGTCAATCAAATGGACCAAGAGGTCAGTCTGAGGTCAGGATGAATTCTACCATAATCCTCTAACTCAGTAAGACACGGCGATCAAGATTAGATCCTGTTTGCGCCACAGAGAATGCTTTCAAAGAGAAAAAGTTTCAAAGGGTTTTGTAATTTTTAAAAATATATCCTGAGAAGACATTAAGCGTATTCTAGAAACGCTTACAAGAG